TTCAAAATCTAGTTTACCATTTGAATGTCTAATAAAATGTAAATATTTATATAATGTTTTTCATATTACCTTTTATATAAATATCTATATTTTATTAGACATTTAAATGGTAAGTTTGATTTTCAACTATAGAGTATATCGAATCCACAAAATAAAAGGTAATATGAAATTATAATTTTTTATTAGAATAAAATTATATTTTTTAACGATTATATTAACAGATATCAACGAAAAATGGTTATGTGTTACGCATGCACAAATGTCAAATAAAAAAATAGTACAAAGGCAAATGTGGTCAAAGTGCAAAAGGTCAACAGGTAAGCAAAGCCGGATAAAGGGTTAAAGTTTTCCCCTAACACTGACTTGTATGAATATAACAAAATGCCCTCTACGCCTATGCCTACACGTCATTAAGTTCTATGATAATCAGATCGATTTGTGGACAAGCATTAGAGTGGTATTTTGTACGATCTATACTCAAATTTGAGATTTTAGTTACTACTTTCTCACTGCGTCCTGTGTGAAGGAGTGTATTGTCTACTATACGACTTTTGGCGGCCCCCTCGTTGATAAGTGAATCTTCTACTCATCATACTCCTTTGCAAATCTTTTTTTTTTTTTTCCTCTCGCAATAGTGCCTCCATTTGTTGTTGACTTTCAACGTCGCCTCTTGGCACAACTCCAACATTCTTGATTTTCATATGAGTTTAAGGATAATAACCCAAACGGTAGATGTCGGATGTTGGACAAGTGTTCTTGCCAACGAGAAAATATCTTTGGGTTATACGTTGACTTAAGACAATAATTATATCCACAGTAATCAGTAAAAATATTAGCTTGGTCAGCATTGTTTGGTGTCTTGTTGAAATTTGATATCATACTAACTGCAAATTACTATTGCAAACTACAAGATAAGAAAAAACATAAAAGAGCTATGACTGAAATATGTCCATCTTAATGACAATAAAACATGCATGAATGTTCACATTGTTTTTTGCTTCTTAATGAAAGGAATGATGGATTGAAGTGTCATGGTAAAATTAAGAAGTGTTAGATCTATTTATGTAAGCTAAGCAAATACTTTAGTACCTGAAATTATTCTGCAATTCAGCTTTTTAGGTGTGTAGTTTAATTATTTTGCTTTTCAAATGAAACAAAAGGATATGATGACCCATTTTGTTTATCTTTCTTGAATTTAGTGATGTCTTCATTTTTCACAACCTCTTTCTACTAATGTCAAGAGCAACCCACCACAAATTGAGGCCTAAAGTAGACAATTAATAGAGAGTTGGGATATGATTTAGTTTCAACGTTTTAGTGGTTTTGGGATCGGATAGGGACAATAAATTTTGTGACATTGGAAATTCAGGATTTTATAAATGAATAAATTGATTGAAGTCTTAAAAAGAGAGGAAAGAAGTTAGAGATAAGGACAAAGAGTAAGAACAAAAAAATGAGAGGGGGTGGTGAGAGTGAAAGAAAAGAAAGTGAAAGGAATTTGAGAGAGATTTCCTACTTATAAAGCTAAAAATCGTTACTTCTAAGCCTTTTTAGAAGAGTTGTAGTATTTTAGTGTTTTCTATAAAGTTTTAAATAAATTTGTGAAAACATTGTTGTATTTTGGAGCTTTCTATAAAGTTTTACATTGTATAATTGCACAAGTGGAGGGTTCTATTCTTAAAATGAATTGAATAAGAAAGTATCTAAAGGATAAGCTGAAATGTTGTTATAATCTTATTTGTGAAAATCATATAATATTTTGTCATAACCATTGAAGTTTGTAGGTATATTCACTGAAAAACCTTTACGAGACACAACTCATCGACTTGGGTGATCTAAAAGTTTAAAGACTTGTTGCATGGGCTAAATGCAATCGTGGAATCTACGAAAGTGGTAGTATATTTTATTTATTGTATTACTAGGGACTATTAATGTTGAGGTTGGGGGTGTAAGATTAACCCTAAAATGCTATCATTTATAAATATAATTAAGGGTTAATTACATAAATTAAATAAGTAAAAGGAGAAAGTAAGGTTATATTATTATTAAGGGGAAGAAATTAATATTTTGAAAATTTCAGGGTCAAAAGAAGGAGGANTCATACTCCTTTGCAAATCTTCTTTTTTTTTTCCTCTCGCAATAGTGCCTCCATTTGTTGTTGACTTTCAACGTCGCCTCTTGGCACAACTCCAACATTCTTGATTTTCATATGAGTTTAAGGATAATAACCCAAACGGTAGATGT